GAGAAGTGAAAAAGTGTCGATTCAGATATAAATTAGTAGACTAACATGCAAAAATCGACTGGCGATTCGTTCAGCAGTAGTAGACAAGCATCAACTGTTTAGGAAATGAGAGCTTATGTTAGAGCTTTTGAAACTTTGAATGTGATTTAGTGCCGTAGTTTTGTTGAAATATGATTTAGATTATCGAAAATATATGTTCTTTTTTTCATTTCATATGATTTGTGAATAATTTCTGTTTAGTTTAAATATCGAGTGAGGATATGTGTTGTGAATTTTTTAAACTATGGGTCAATAATGATGAACATAATTTACTTTTTATAATTATTTCAATGGGCTGGTTATAATTTGTATTGCTAAATTTGTATTTTTTATGAAAAGTGAAAATTGTTAAATTTATAAGTTAATAAGATTAATGTTTTAATTAAAAATTTTAAAAACGGTTTAGTTCGATTTTGTGAGATTTTTGAAAATCGAAACCTAAATCAAATCATTTTGAAATTGTTTGGTTTGGTTTGAGGGGAAAAAATGCGAGTCCATGTGGACCCGAACAAACAGTTTCAAATCAATGATTTTGATACAATTTGTGGTTTCATGATTTTTTTTGTACAACTCTATTATAACACCCTACAATTCCTCCCATAATTATGGATAACAGTGTAATGAATTTGGGACGGCCATTCCCATGCTACACTTAAGATGGAGCAAAGCAATGAGCACCCAAAACCCATTCCCCACCCAATCAAGTTCGAAAAAGGTTTCTTGCATCGAACCCAACTTGTCAACCTGACGAGATTTAAATCAATTGACTTTTTCTAAGGGTTTTGATAAACGAATAGGGGTCGTGACAGGCACCTATGACAGGTCGCCTATGTAGACGCCATGTAGGCAGCCTGTCACACCCCCGTCACAGTAGCAAAATCCTTTTTTTAAACTGTACCCATAAATTTGAATATTTTTGGCAACATGGATTATTTGATGCCCACATATTTGAATCATCAACAACCTCAATATCCAAAGTAATCTTATTTAACATTATTGGTTCAAATATCAGTTTAGATAGCACTAATGTGACATTAAATTAAAGGTATAATTAAGCTCACGTTGGATGACTATTATTTTGAAAAAATAGGGTTTTGAATAATTTTTTTGAAAAAAGTGTAGTTAAAAAATGTAAAAATAAATAAATAAATTGAGATTTACGTGCATAATATTTTATTGAACCAATGTATTTGTAAATAACTTAAATAAATATGAGAATTAAATAGTTTTGTTTTAAAGGAGGAAGAATAGGAGTTTTGACAACTACTATTTTGGGAAAACAAAGTTTTGAATAGTGATTTTTATAAGAATGTATGGTTAAAAAGTAAAAAAAAAAATTTTAATTTACATACAAAATATTTTATTATACGAATATGTGATTAAAAATAAATATTTAAAAATAATGGTCATGAAAAGAGGGCTAAATGAATCTATTCGAAATAAATGCAAGGCAAGAATTGAAAAAAGGTAGCCAATAGTACATATGCCACGTGGAAGAAGATAATTGGGAGTTAATGTTAATGGGCCAGCCAAATGGTTGCTTTTTGTGCAGTAGCTTTGGGACAGGGCTTTAAAGTCGCTTTCAGCAGGGTGGTCACATGGACATCCCATGTGTTCCACATTCCATACGTCCACTTAAATGTTTATGCTACGGGCTTCCTTTTACAATTTCAAGTACTTCGTTATTTTGTGAAACAATGAAGAATGGGGATTGGAAAATAATTCAAGTACTTGTTTGATGAGAAGTGATACCAAAAAGTCATGAACAATTGTAAAAGCAATTTCTTTGGATATCGGGAGAGAAAAAATGATTCTCAAAGCATCGAAATAAAAAACAAGCACAAAATTTTGAAAAACAACAATGATTGATTGATTCTACCACATAGATTGACTATGGGCGATAATTTCTTTTGATTGAATCTTACCGTTCTCCTTGTAGCATGTTATGTGAAAAGCAAATTTAAGGTTTCTTAGAAAATGTTCTCGAACATTTAAAGAACTGTGTAACTAGTTTTTGGACGAAGATTGAAAAACATAAATGGTGGGCATTCTTAATGATAATTTAATTTTTGAAAAAATGTCAATTCATCTTTCGTTCTTTAATTGAAGATATTTTTGCCCTAACTTAACTTGCCCTCAATTTTTACTTTGCTCCTAAGAGAGATCTTGATGATCTATGCAGTAAGCAACATAGCCTTCATTAATGTGTTTTACGAAACTCTTCAATAAAATTTTACTAAAACGCAAAAGAAGAGAATTACTATTTTTCTCTGAAATCTTGCGTTACTATTCAGATTAGAAGTTATCCTAATTGGTTGAAGGATTGATGGTCAACGTGTTGTTTAAAAAGATCCATAGTTGCACACAACTTTTCAAAGTTACTAGAAGCATGAAATCAACAGAATCAATTCCATACATAAAGCTACTTAATTTAGGGAAATTTTGTACCTAAACCCAACCCCCTAGGAAGATGACATAAGCCGGATCCAAAAATGTGTTTGATTTTAGAAAGATTTGGTACATTTTCGAGATTGTGTGAATTCCCCATTTTAGTCCTCAATTATTCTAAATTTGTTAAATATAACTTATGAAATTATACTTAGGGTCCGTTTGATTGCGAAAATAGAATTTTTGATGAAAAGAAAATGAATTCAAAGGAATTGAATTGCCTAAAAATTATTTTTTTGGGAATTGTAAATTATTGTATTTGATTGGTATAATTTTTTACGTGAAAAATGTTGTCTTTTGTGCTCGTTTGGTTTTGTTTTACATGAAAATTGTCAATTCAAGGAATAAAATTTATTGATATTGGGGATGAAATTTGTTTCCATTGCAAAAAATAAAAAATCATCTATCTTTTGACGTTCGTTTGTCTTTGTTTTACATAGAAATTGTCAATTAAAGGAAAATATTTTTTTTACAATAATTCTTAAAATTTGTTTCCATTGTCAAAAAAAAAAAAACCTATAGTACTGAGAATTGGAATTCTCACAATATTGGTGAGAATTCCAATTCAATGATTTGATGGAAAATACTGACATGGCCAAGAAATGTGTCATGGAAAATTTCATCTATCAAACACTATAAGAGTTGAAAAATGGTATTGATTTTCCATTTTCCATGGAAAATGTGAGGCTATCAAACACACTCTTACTATAATTACACTTTGGTGTTAAGCATGAATCTAGATATCAACTAAATAACATTGAGTAAAATAACCTAAGAAACACGGGTTAATAGAATGTTCAATCACTGCTTAGTACCAATTAGACTATATAACATTACTTAAAAAAATTCTAATCCATCTTTTAGTTAAATTCGCTACTATATGGATTCTTTCCGTCCCTTATGTTAATATGCCATTTCAATTATTCGTAAGTATTTAACTTTAGGAAATGGTTCTTGCCAATTCATAGGGGATTCGAAGTGTCTTATGTAGGGGTATAAGCGGTCCAGTTTTACTGGTTTTTGACAGATTTTCAAACCAAACCGTTTAAAACGATTTGAGAAAAATTCAAATCTAAACCAAACCATTTTGAACGGTTTTAAAAAAAGCTCAAACCTAAACCTAACGATTTGATTCGGTTTTAAACCGCCGATTTCGTCATATATTTTTTTGAGACAAAAAAACAAAAAAATGAAAATTTAGACCGTTATTCCATAAGTCCAGCTACCTTCGTTGACTTGCTATTTCATGTGTGGGACCCAGTCTCCTCTCCAATAGTCAATTTTCTTATTATGATATGAGAAATATGGCTCAAATAGGGGCTAAATATATCTACTATAAATTTAAATATTAACTAAATTAAAGTGAAATCACAATAAACTAAAATATAGTTTTTTTTTTCATTTTTGTTCACTTTTGATAGGTTAATGAGGATACAATAATGTTACAATACAAGTCTACTGAACTAGATATAAGGTTCAAAAAACATAATGAGTCCAACAAGATCTCGTGATCATCATATCTGAAAGAATGATGCTGATTAAACAAAGAGAATAACCAACCATAATAATAAAGTAATTGTTTATAATATTTACACATAACAATTATATAAATTTACATTTGTATGATATTATGAAACACGTTTAATTTTAGATTCTTACTTTAGTTTGCTCCAAAAAATTATTGATCTAAAACTTTATTTGTGGCAAATATTATCACCGAAGGTCTAGGATCTCTTTGTCTCCGATTTGGTATAATGGACTTCAATTCAATTTTGAAGATAAGTGAAAAATCTGAAAAAGAAGTGTGTGGTGCTGGTGGCTCAAAACTGTGTTAGATGTCGACTGGAGTTCATTTAAATTTTGAAGAGGAAAAAGACTTTTGATAGATTATGTAAGTCTTGAAATTATTAAATATATATTATGATTATTGGATGATGATGATGATGATGATGATGATGATGATGATAATGATGATGATGATAATAATAATAATAATAATAATAATAATAATACATCTGTATTAGAAAATTAGGAATTGACAAAAATACTCACAAATGACAAAATTATTGAATTTTACATATTTGGATGAATTTTCAAAAATTTTCATTTTTTTATTTTTATATATTTTTTCGTCAATTCGGTTTGGTTTTAAACCGCAATTAAAATTCTCAAACCTAAACCAAACCATTTTGACTGGTTTTGTTTGGATCAAAACCATTTCGTTGACCGGATCCACGTGGCACCAAACCGATGGTTTCTAAAATGCGATTTCGATTCGATTTTTGCTTACAGCCCACTTTTATGCATATTTTGGACTATTGAACTTCTGTCATTTAGGAGACAATATTTGTGGTTTCCATTTTCACAATTTTTAGGTTATTCTCTAAGATGTTTCAATTTGCTAGACTATCTTATCTATTCAACAAAAAAAAAAAAAAATAATAAAAATAAAAGATAAAAAAAAAAAAATCTTTATGACTAAAAATACTTAAAAGGCTAGTCATAATTTGCCCGAACCCTATTAAATGGTGAGACAATAATGCCGTAACTTATATAGCCGCATAATATGTACACTTTTTTCCTTAGAGATAATAATAACAATATAATTGGCTAGATACTACAATAAAGCTACTCGTACAAAGTTGAGTTACAAAGTGTGTTGGAAAAATTCAGACCATTAATTTTAAATGATTTAAAAATCTGTTTTTGAAATGATTGATGTGGACGTAATTTTATCAACCTTTGTAAGTGCAGCATAACTCTAGATTCTAAGCCCTCATCCTCACAAAATCTACGGGAAAACATCACCACGTGGTGGTCATCCAGCCTCTCTGATAGCATAAAACATCAAATAGTCAATCAGAAGATGTCAAACGGTGCCGTTTGTTGCCTCAAATTCTTCTCATCTACTGAAGTCAACGTTCTCTGCTTACGGATCCCCAGTAAATCCGGTGGCGTTACGGATCGAATTAGAGCGAAATTTAAGTCCTTAAAAAAGGGGTGGGTCTTGACTTCAGCCGCCCCGCGTTTCGACCCGAGTCTCCTATTCGGGTCTTTGTTAAGTAACTGGGATATCAAGTCCCGAGCGTGTAGTTCACTCACATTGCACGGCGCGCCGTTGGGGAAAGTTAGCGGCTTTTTTACGATGTCACGCAGTGTGGACGAATTCGATGGACCAGCAAATGGGGTCCTTCCGTAAATCATTTCGTAAATAAAGATCCCAAGGGCCCACCAGTCCACGGCATTGCCATGGGACCTACCGGAGGCAACTTCGGGCGCCACATATTCGTGGGTTCCAACGAAAGAACAAGATCGGGCGGCAACCGGCTCCGCCACGAACAACCGGTTGTTGGAGAATGACTGGATCTTCTTTGACCGGAACAGCCTGTCGGAAATGCAGGAGAACGGGGTTAGTCCACAGGCTGTTGGCGATGACAGTGGTTCATCGGATGAAAAGACAGGCGATTCTATGGCTGGGATTGAATCTGAGCGAAGGGAAAGATCAAAATCAGTGAGCATAATGTGACCGTCCGATCTAACCAATACATTTTCTGGCTTTAAGTCCCTGTAGATGATTCCCAACATGTGAAGGTATTCCAGTGCTACCAATACCTCAGCTGCATAAAACCTGGAAAAATTTACCAAAAAATGATAATATTCAGTACCATATTCAATAAGGTCTAACGTTATCAAGGGTGAAAATTTTATGGGAAACAAATAAATATGCTCTGATGGCTTGTTTAAGAAGATAAAAGAGGAAGAACCCTGATATGGTAAATTTCGTTTCAGATGACAAAGTGTCACAAAAACAAGAAAAAACCCAGAAAGAGAAAAGTGTCATTGATGGAATTTGCAGCAAAATTGGACAATTTTTCAAATAAAAATAGATTAATTTATTTAAACCAAGAAATTCTATGAAGGGTCTTTTTATGCACAAGAAACAAAGAACACAGAGAATCATATCAGAGGAAGAAAACTGTATTTGATAGACAAGTTTCAGTTAATTTAGCCCTTCAAAAAAAAAATTAATAATAATCAGCTTTTCTAAACTAAAGAATAATCTCCCTGTTAAAGAAACAGACATAAGAGAAAGGAATGTAGAGAGAGAGAAATACCTAGCTGAGGCGAGAGAGAAGCGTTTTTGAGGCTGTTTATGCCTTAGAGAATGCAAATCACCCCCAGAACAGTACTCCATTACAACACAAGAAAAATGGGAGGCTTCAAATTCAGCATAAAGAGTAGGCAAAAATGGATGGTCCAGCATTCTCATGATGTTTCTTTCCGTTTCAGCTCTCCGGGATTTTTTCTTCAACGCTAAAGCTTCATTATCGACTACCTTCATGGCATAGAGCCGCCTCTCCTCCGCCGTGCTGCGGAGGCGGCAGAGATATACTTTGCCAATGTCTCCACTGCCGATCTGGCGGACCAAACTGAAGTCCCGGAAGCTCAAGCTCGTCTTTGAGCGAATGGCTTGGAGTGAGTAGTCCGATGATCGGTGGGGTTTCAGTGTATGCAGATTTTCCGGCGACCTAGTCGGTAGCTCCAAAGACAATCGGCTAAAACTAGTGCAATGACTAATGGTCGTGTCACTACTCATGGAGGTTTTGCCGGAACTAAAACCTTCTAAAATCAAGTCGTCGGAGTTTCTATCAAAGACTAGCATTTTACAAACAATTTCATGTAAAAAAGTGGGATTTTTTGCGAAAGATGAACAGAAGATACCAGTTGAAAATTCCTTGGGAAACGATTTGAAAACAATGGATAGCTTTTGGGGTATTCTATTACTTTCTCCTGTCGAATCAGATACGAGAAATGGAAAATCAAATGAGAAGAATGAAAAGTAAATAAGAATCAAGAACAAAGTCGAAATGTGAAAACTCAAGAATCTGGCTTAAACCTAACAGAGCTTTGCGGAAGTAAATGGTGAGATGAGCTTTTCCGTGTAACAGGAAATTCGGGTTCCGTACAGTCAGAGAAAGAAGAAGAGAAGATAGCTAGAAATAATATGGCCACTATTTACAGCTAAGTATGAATATATAGGGCCCGTTTGATAGAAATTTTGAGAATTGATTTTTTTACCGTTAGAAAAAAAGTAGAGTCCACATGTAGAGAAGAAGTCAAAAATTAAGACTTGAATAGTAAAATAATGGTCAAAAAATCAATTTTTTGGGGCAAAAAACCCCTACCAAACGGGGCCATAGTTTGAGAGACAGAGAGGGACTGGGTTAGAAATAGAGTAATGCTATTTAACTGCATATTATTTTTAATAGATTTTAATTTGATAAAAATATATAAGGTAAAAAATTGATAAAATTTACAGATCTTGTAAATGTTTGATGTGTTTGAGAAAACACGAGTTTTAAAAAATAAAGGTCAAAGAATAGTTAAATTTAATTCTAATATAATGGAGGGAAATTATATTCACACAACAATTTTTATTTCTTGCACCACATTATATTTTACTTAAAGTTCTTAATTTTTGTTTATTATAGTACTTGCGTCTCTAAACATTTTTCATGTCATCCTTATCCAGATTAAAAAGTGCACGAATGAAAAACGAGGACAACACTACTAGCTAATAAAATATTTGGTAAGGTCCGCATGAGGAACAATATAGTCCTTGTTTGATCTTCATTATTTTTAAAATACATTTTTTTCTTTTTTTAATAACGCGTTTTTCAATAAAATAATATTATACGTAAATTCAAAATTTTTCTTTATTTTTAATCACATATTCTCCATCAATCTACTACTCCTCTAAAATGCATTCTTTCGTGAAATAACGGGCTCAAACAGGTTCTAAATAATATAAAATTTTTATTTATTTCAGTATTCAATTTAATCGCTCCTTGGATACAATTTATAAATTAATATAATTTCAGATAAAAGTATTTTTACTACCATTCATTGGTATCGAAACTAATATCGTGGCACCACATTAGACATATTATTACAAGCCACTAGTCCGAAGAAGACAAAGAGATTCATGAAATGTCTTGAAGAAGGGAAGCAAAAAGGGACAGTACAGTTGGACCAACTCTCAAGGGTCCATTTGATATAAACATATCATAACCCAATTTCCATTCTTTTAAGTCTTATCAAACTAGAAAATAATTAGCATAATAATACGTTTTTCAATAAAATAATATTCTACGTAAATTCAAAATTTTTTTCTTTATTTTTAATCACATATTTTCCATCAATCTACTACTCCTCTAAAATGCATTCTTTCGTGAAAAAAAGGGCTCAAACAGGTTCTAAATAATATAAAATTTTTATTTATTTCAGTATTCAATTTAATCGCTCTTTGGATACAATTTATAAATTAATATAATTTCAGATAAAAGTATTTTTACTACCATTCATTGGTATCGAAACTAATATCGTGGCACCACATTAGACATATTATTACAAGCAACTAGTCCGAAGAAGACAAAGAGATTCATGAAATGTCTTGAAGAAGGGAAGCAAAAAGGGACAGTACAGTTGGACCGACTCTCAAGGGTCCATTTGATATAAACATATCATAACCCAATTTCCATTCTTTTAAGTCTTATCAAACTAGAAAATAATTAGCAAAAAGGACCCCATTATGAAATAAATGTCCTAAGCAAAAAAGTACCCAAAAAGGTATGTCAAAAATATCATTATTGCATTTATATTACTTTTCACCAATTATGTCTGAGCCCCAAATTTAGGCATTTTCTTGTGCAATTCTTCAAGTTAGAAACAATCAATATTTTATGATTATGAGTGTAATACTATTTATACTAAGCCCCCGTTTGAACCCATAATTTATCCTTACATTAAATTAAAATTTTCTCTTTCTTATTTTTAACCACACAATTTTCAATAAAATAATGTTACATGTAAATCAAAAACTTTTCAATCACTCATTTTTCAAAAAAATATTATTCATCTCATTATAATCTACAAATAATGGGGCTCAAACGGGGGCTAAGCCCTTGTGTGAGCCACATTATATTTTTGAATATTGTATTAATGAAAAATGTGTGGTTAAAAAATAAAGAAAAATTTTGAATTTGTGTGTAATATTATTTTATTAAAGAATGTGTGATTGAAATAATGTCAAATCATTGTTTAAAAATGTATTTTTTTTGAAAAAATATGATTCAAACATAACCTAACATTTTTTAATATATCTAGTGACAATGAATACGGGCATCTTTGAAAGGCCTTTTGAAAATTCAAAAGTTAATTATATATGGGACTAAGAAGTTACTTTTTAACTTGTTTAAATAATTTTTTGAAAATATTTTGTCTGGCTAAAAGAACTTTTAAAAAAAGCTGATCATGAGTAATTTAATCGAGGAGAGTTAGACGATAAGCAGAACCCATGCTAAATGGGCTCTATATATAATCTAAGGAAAAAAAGTCTTTTGCAGAGGTTTTGTGCATGTATGTGGGTGTGGAGTTTACAACAAAGAGGAATGGGGCAAAAGATTTGTTCAATTCAATATATATCGGTGGGACATATTTAACATACCATGAAAGTGTGTCCAATAAATGACTTTGTTGTGAGGATGGTTTATTTGTTTCATTATTATTCATGTCTTCAGCAGAATGTAGTAATCCTGATCTATACATTGGAAACAACGGTAATGTAGGGTTAGATAAATAAGATATTTTTGTATTTTTGATAAATTATAACTTTTACGACATTGAACACAATAATCAATAAATAGGGTTAGATAACGAATTCACACATAGATAAAAGATGCAGCCATGTCTATATATTCTTAATTTAAAACATTCTCCCTTTATATTGTGTAAACAATTGTCTTATTTCCATCCATGATTTGGTACTTCTTAACCTCACTTTTACAAAGTTATATTCTTTCTTTTTAATTTTATCCGTCCTTCGTATTATATTGTCTAGCCTAATTTCCTGCTCTTTTGAAGTATCTTTTTTTTTTTATATCCAGATATCCCAACTTACACTAAACTAAATTCTGGACCCTCAAGACCCTTGTCCCTAGAACCTTGAAGGGGGTAAATCGCGGATTATGCCTCAACTGGATCACAGATTCCTCTCACCGCCTGTACACTTCTACACACAAGAGATCCTCTTTCAAAATAATTGCTCATCTTGTATATCTTTGTATATACAAGAGATGCTCTCGCATGTAAATGCTTAGGAAGAACGGTGGGAAAGGATTTTGAAGAGAAATGTGAGAGTCAAGATGTGACATCAGAGGAGATAAGGATTACTTTCTTATTTCTATTCTTTTTTACTGAATATATATATATATATATATATACACACACTTTTGTCTTGCTTGCGTCACCAATCTCAACTTCTTGTTTTTTATAATCAACTCGAAAGATCCAAAGATGCTCTTGCATAGAGGGAGGTGAAGAGAAATGGAGAAGATATAGAAGAAGGTAAGATGTACGTAATATAAGAAGTTGAGAGAAAGAAATGACATGAATCGATAATATGAACATACAAAGATGGTAAATGCTTATCTTTAAGAAGTCAAATTAATTATACGGTCCGTCAATACATTTTTAACCGGTAGATTTAGTTTATAAATACTTTTTCTTTGATAATTAAAAGGGCTCATTTCAAAAAACAAAAATCAAATACTATTTTACCGTTAACACCGAGGAAACTGTGCCCCACGTGTTATGCTTTGCTGACGTAGCAGATACGTGCTCAAAATGTAGGTCTGTAGTTTCGTCACGTGTGGAAAGGGAGGGGCGTTGCTTATCTGCTAAAGCTTCCGACAGAATATACAGTGCGCGTGTCTTGGACTTGGAGCGTGAAAACGGTGGTTTTGAAGTGAAATGTCAATATTGCCCTCGAGAGCATGTGGGCTTTTAATTTGATTCGATTAACGTTGGTGTACATCATTGTAATTCAGGAAAAAACCTCAAAGTAAGGGCCATTATACGCAAATCAAAAGCTTGCCCAAAAATACGGACATAATCTTGATCAGCAAAATAGCATCACGCAACACTAATTTCTATACATTTTTTTTTTTTTTTACCCAAATTAGTTGAGAAATTTACCTGCATAGGAATTTTGTTTACTATGAAGTCCATTTATATGAAAATATTATTTTTAATAGATTTTAATTTGATAAAAATATATAAGGTAAAAAATTGATAAAATTTACAGATCTTGTAAATGTTTGATGTGTTTGAGAAAACACGAGTTTTAAAAAATAAAGGTCAAAGAATAGTTAAATTTAATTCTAATATAATGGAGGGAAATTATATTCACACAACAATTTTTATTTCTTGCACCACATTATATTTTACTTAAAGTTCTTAATTTTTGTTTATTATAGTACTTGCGTCTCTAAACATTTTTCATGTCATCCTTATCCAGATTAAAAAGTGCACGAATGAAAAACGAGGACAACACTACTAGCTAATAAAATATTTGGTAAGGTCCGCATGAGGAACAATATAGTCCTTGTTTGATCTTCATTATTTTTAAAATACATTTTTTTCTTTTTTTAATAACGCGTTTTTCAATAAAATAATATTATACGTAAATTCAAAATTTTTCTTTATTTTTAATCACATATTCTCCATCAATCTACTACTCCTCTAAAATGCATTCTTTCGTGAAATAACGGGCTCAAACAGGTTCTAAATAATATAAAATTTTTATTTATTTCAGTATTCAATTTAATCGCTCCTTGGATACAATTTATAAATTAATATAATTTCAGATAAAAGTATTTTTACTACCATTCATTGGTATCGAAACTAATATCGTGGCACCACATTAGACATATTATTACAAGCCACTAGTCCGAAGAAGACAAAGAGATTCATGAAATGTCTTGAAGAAGGGAAGCAAAAAGGGACAGTACAGTTGGACCAACTCTCAAGGGTCCATTTGATATAAACATATCATAACCCAATTTCCATTCTTTTAAGTCTTATCAAACTAGAAAATAATTAGCAAAAAGGACCCCATTATGAAATAAATGTCCTAAGCAAAAAAGTACCC